GCTTTCCAGCCTATACAGCTTGGAGTAAGACAACATGCATGAAGAGGATGATGTGGACAAAATACTCATTTGCCTAATAATTCTGCACTCCCTGTATTAATGTTGAATAACAGCTATAAATCTTTTGCTCTGTTTGCTGATGCTGTGTCGAGCTGGCAGAGAGATACTTGTACAAAAGGAGGTAGACTGGAAATTTCTGGATTTTTGGCCCACATTTCAAAAAGAAATCTTTTGTTTTAGTGCATTTACTGCCTCGATTAAAGTTGCCTGAAGCACTGATGAGGAGTCCTCGTGTGCTCTACAAAAATGTTTCTCATGGTGAATTAGGATGCATTTGTCATAAAATATCACTCACAATACTTTTATTATTATGCAACCGGTCTATAAAAGTACTTTCCAGTCCAGTCATCAACATGTTCCTCTAGCAGCAAAACTCACTGAGGTCTTTTTGTTAAGATAATGGGTTTCCTTTCTAAGAGGAAGAGAGAGAGGCACAGAGCATGGGAATACAATCGATCTGGTATCTCACTTAGCGCTGGGGCCCCCAGGCCCTCGGTCCTGGGAACGCTCTTGACTGGCTTGGCCACAAGGAATGTGCTGCCACGGCGCTCAGACGTTTGGCCCCAAATTAAAGAGGGCCGTACATATCCACCAGCAGCATCTCTCCTGAGATATCCACTGCTTTAGCTATCAGGGATAGAGTGGATGAGCAGACACTGGCCCAGGGGGAGAATGGAGGGGAAGAAAGGAAGTTAGAGGGACCAGTGTGAAATCCAGGAAGGGAAGAAAAGTGAGACAGAAGTGAATGAAGTTGGGCCTGGAGAGTATTCATATGTAAGAGTTACAACTGAGTATGCTGATTGAAACTAAATCTTACTTTCACTAACATCAGCTGTTGAAGAGTCTTTAAAAAATGTCAACCTCTTTGTGTAGTTTTTTTCCCCTTGATATCTTTAAAAAAACCTCCTCCTGCAGGGATGGAAGCAGAGTATGACGAGCAGAGCCGTGTGAAAAGCCAAAAGGAGCAGCTGTACCCCCACCTCATCCTCATGATGCTCCCTCCCCACAGGCTGGATGCCCAGTCTTCCTCCCGAAGGCGCAAGCGGGCACTTGACACCAATTACTGCTTCAAGTAAGCCTCATTCGCTCCCCCTGGAAAATGTAATGCACTACTTAGACTATTGCTCATCATCTTAAAATAAATTCTCCCAAAACCGTTTCTCTCTGGCTGCACCTGCGCTGACAATTTAAGACATTTGCCTACTGGGCTAATATTCCAGGGACACTTGAATAAAGCACCCGCATCCAATTAGAATATCAGCTGTCACGTTTCAAAAAACATGACAGGGAAGACGTGTAAATAAGCGCAGAACACACAAAGAATACATGCAATAAACTTGTTAATCACCCAGATGAGCATGGCAGAGGTACTAGATTATACAAGTCAGGATCTGTCTCGGTACTAGCAAACACTACCGCCTCTTACACACCGTCTCCTCAACTCTGGATTTCCTATGACAGGCAGTACCAAAGACACCTGGGCTGACTCCAAGAGGGAAAAAAAGGGCACACCTAAGACTGGAATTTCTGAACTTGAGTCTCATCTCTGACTGAGGCCACGGGGCGGAAAATGTATACTTAAATTTGCGTGTTATCCTCCAAATCAAGAGGGTAATCATTGTCTCCCCCTTTCATTTCTGCAGCAATTACGAGGAGAACTGCTGCGTGCGACAACTATATATTAATTTCCGTGAGGATCTGGGCTGGAGGTGGATACACCAGCCCGAAGGGTACTATGCCAACTTCTGCTCTGGTCCCTGTCCTTACCTACGCAGTGCAGACACCACCCACAGCTCGGTGAGAAAAAGTGCCACTTCTCGAATCCGTTTTGGTGTTTGGAAATGTGCTTGCCAACCCTCATCTCTTTTGTCATCTTCCTTTCACAGCTGCTGAGCCTGTACAACACCTTGAACCCTGAAGCGTCCGCCTCTCCCTGCTGTGTTCCTCAGGACTTGGAGCCCCTAACCATCCTCTACTACGTGGGTCGCTCCCCGAAAGTCGAGCAGCTTTCAAACATGGTCGTCAAGTCCTGCAAGTGCAGCTAAACTTCAAGGTCTTCGAGGGAGGGAAGGGGGGTGCGGGG